GTACATAAATTTTTTCTACTTCTGTAATATATGTTAGTGAACTAAATTAATGGCTAACATAAGGTTATTAAATTTTTATCACTAATATTAGGGCATAAGTAGGAAACTGCTACTAATATTATAGAAGATGTGCCTGTATGAAGATGGTAATTGACATATAAACCTGGTAATTCAATGTTTAATGCGATGGTAATTTTAATATGAAAGTGAATATTGGTGCCTAACACAAACCATAGATTTTGTGATGGTAATGTATACCATGCAACATTACCAGCATCTAAAATAAATTACCATTACATCGAAGTATCAAGTACCAATATAGTTATCTTTATTGCCAACATAAATGACAAAATCTATGGTTTGTGTTAGGCGCCAATATTCAAAAATTATCTATAACAAAAGGTTTTAATTAAGTTTAGTAAGATATAAAAATCAATAATAATGAAATGCATATTAATATTAATGACCTGCATTAAGAACCACTTGTGTCCTAATATGATGTTATCAAAATTCTTAACCATAAAACATAGAATATACAGGACATGTTTAATGGGTAAAGTCTAAATTTTATTTAAACATTTACTACATAAACATCAATTTCCATTGTCTCTGTTATGCAACATTATATAAGAATCACATTATAGTAATTACCATTATATTGAAAATATAATTACTAGGTCTTTTTGTTCCCTTATCATCTTTATATAATTCAATTAAGGCTAATTTATTATCATAGTTATGGAGAAATATTTGGTTACAAAAAATTAAATAAACTTATTTTCCAATTATCATATTACAGAACTAAAAAATAAACTAGATGTAATAACTGTAACATTACCCGTATCTGGAATCAATTACCATCCTATTTAAAATGTAATTATCAGCTTTATATGGTCAATTACCACTTTATTTAGTTCAGATAAGGCAAAAATTTTACCATTTCAATTTTACTATAAAGCTCAAGTAACACAACTCAAGTATGTGAACCTTGTATTGATCAATAAACCATACATTATATTTACAAATAAAAATCACAACGGTTACATTGCACATAGGGATGAAAACAGGCCAGATCAGGCTAGACTTTACTCTAAACAAGCCTGACATGTTACCTGTTAAAGGCTTTATTTTAGGTCTGGCCTGACCTGTTTAAGTGGACTGTCCTGGCTTGAAGCCTGTTAACAAAGCCTGTTATAAAAAAAAATTAATATTAATAAAAATATAAATATTTTATTATCAAATTAGTTTATATATATTTTTTAATTTCTATCTATGTTATTAATAATTATTAAATAATTATAATAATATTTATATAATTTTATAAATAAATTTTAAAATATTATTTAAGTATTAATTATAAATATTTTATATTAATAAAATTTATATTTATATTTTTCTTGATTTATTTTTAAAAATTATATAAATAGTAAATATTTTAGTTTTATTTTAGAAACATATTTTGTTTGTTTAAAGACAGCTTATATTCAACAAATAAAAGAAAATTATTATGTTTTAAAAAAAATTAAACTTAATGCAATATATATATATATATATATATAATGACAATAATAATTATTATTAAATTAAAAAATAATTACAAAATATTTAATTTTATTTGTTTCATTAATTTGTTATTTTAAATTAACAAATAAACATAAAATTAACTATATTATAACATTAATGTAATATAGAAAATATTACTGATACAACAAATTAAAACATATATTTATATATTACATATAAAATGATAAATTAACTAATAATTTAATTAAAACATCTGCAAGTTACAAAAATATATATTATTATATAATTTATTTATAATTATATTGTTTGTTATATGGTCTAATTATACATATATATATATATATATATATATTAATATATATTATAATAAACTTTTTATTTTTATCTTCTTATATTTTTATAAATTTTTTCTTTCGAATAAAATATAATTTATATTTAAACAATTTTTATTTATTATAAATTTAAAAAATTATAACATACTATATTAATATAATAATTGAATATTAATAATAATAAAATTTAAAATATGAAAAAATTATTAAAAAAGATTAATATTTTATTTTAAAATTTTAATTCGTTTATTCTTTTTCAGCTTGTTTAAATATAACAAATATAATAATTTATGATTAAATAAATTTAGTTTTTAAACACGTGTGATCGTGTATAAATATTTTTAGTTTCAAATATAATATAATTTTTATTTGTTATAAATAAAAAATTATAACATAATATATTAATATTAAAATTAAATATTAATACTAATAAAATTAAGAATATAAAAAATAAATTAATATAATATTATTATTTTATTTTTAAATATTAGTTTCTTTAATTTTGATTGCTTTCTAATCTTATTCAAAAACTTTACTGCTCTTCAGCTTTTTCAAACAAATATAATAATTTATCTTATATTTATATTTAAAGTAACTATAAATAATAATAAAACAAGAATAAAAAATAAGTGCGATATCAGTTTTAGCTCAAAGGTATGTGGTTGTGCTAAGTTTGTAATTTGTTGTAATTTAGTTAATACAATCAATGAAATTTTTTATTATAAATTTTATATCAATAAAATTGCTTAAGAAAAGATAAAAAAATAAAATAAAATTTGTATAATATTAAAAATTTATAATAATTATTGTTATTGAATAATATTAATAAAAATATAATTATTTTATTATCAAATTAGTTTACATATATTCAAATTTTTATTTGTGTTATTGATAATTATTAAATAATTGCAATAATTTTTATACAATTTTACAAATAATTTTTAAAATATTATTTGAGCATTAATTATAAATATTTTTATTTTTATTTTTCTCAATTTAATTATATAAAATTATTAAATTATTACATATTTTAATTATTTTTTATGATATTTATATTTTGTTTGTATAAAGACGTCTTATATTCAATGCATAAAATCATAGTAAACACATAAAATTGATAACAAAAAATAACACTTACAAAATTTATTGAATCAACTAAAAAAATTATTATATTTTAAAAAGTAAATAAATATCGTTATTATAAAAATTGTAGATAAAAAATATTTATATTATAAAATTTATAGATGCAGAAAAATAACATATGAGCATAGGAAGAATTATTAAAATTTATATTGAAATCAAAATAACTTATATTTCTAAATTTTTATCTTCATTAAAAAATATGTGATAAAACTTAATATAAAATAATAACAATAATAACTATTAAAGTTAAAAAAATAATTACAAAACATTAATTTTATTTGTTTCATTAATTTATTATTTCAAATTAACAAATAAACATAAAATTAACTATACTATAACATTAATGTAATATAGAAAATATTACTAATACAATAAATTAAAACATATATTTATATGTTACTTATAAATTGATAAATTAACTAATAATTTAATTAAAACACGTGTAAGTTACAAAAATATATATTATTATATAATTTATTTATAATTATATTATTTATATTATTTGCTACATGGTCTGATTATATATATATATATATATATATATATATATTATAATAAGTTTTTTATTTTATTTTCTTATTATTTTTTTATAAATTTTTATTTTCAAATAAAATATAATTCAGATTTAAGCAATTAATATATATTATAAATAAAAGGAATTATAACGTAATATATTAATATAATAATTAAATAATTAAATTAATAATAATAAAATTAAGAGTATAAAAAATATGTTAATATAATTTTATTATATTATTTTTAAATTTTATTTCGTTTAGTTTTGATTACGTTTTATTTCTGTTCAAAGACTTAACTATTCTTTAAATTGTTTAAATATAATAAATATAATAATTTATTATTAAATAAATTTATTATTTAAAAAGTGTAATCATGTATAAATATTTTTAATTTTTAATAGAATATAATTTCTGTTTATTGTAATTATAAATAAATAAAAGTATAGCATAATATATTAATTTAATAATAATAGAATTAAAAATATATTATTAAATAATTATTATTTTAATATATTTTGACAACTCTATTTTTAAATTATATATATATTTATTTAAGACAGACTGTCAGGCTTAACAAGTTTTATAAACAGCTCAAGTCTGGCTTATTTACTTAAACAAGTCTTAAAAAAAGTATAAGCCTAGTTTGTTTATTAAAAAGGCCAGGTCAAGCCAGGCCTAAACCGGGCCAGGCCACAGGCCCTGTCAAGCGGCCTGACCTGTTTCCATTCCTAATTGCACAATTTACAATTTTACAAGAGATAATGTGAAGACTTTGTTCTTGTACAATTCACTATGTCCTATCTTACAGATAACAACAAACAGAAAATATTGTGTTGTCCAATGAACCATATTCAATAGACCTATTGTATCATCTATGTTGCTATTTACAATATACCAAAAAAATAACAGTATGGTTCAACTGTTGAGGTCTATTATCTTGCCTTTTTGACCACTTAACCTTAAGATATCATATCTCCAGTCAAAATAATGATTTTTGCATGGTGAAGCCAAAAATATTATGCACAGTATGTATATATCATCCTGCATACACAAACATTATTCATTATTAAATAAACAAAAAATAAGTATTATGTAGATTTCAAGATTGATTCTACTAATCTTACCCATTCAAAACAAAATGGGACTTTACTTTTCTATCCACTAGCCAAACCTGCATGTAGTAATATTTGTAACTGTAATTTATTTATACAATCACTCTGAAAATACTAATAGGCAAGTATCAATTCTGAATTTGTTTTTCAACACTATGTTGAAGACTATCGTGGGGTTTAGTTGTATCCATGTGGATGTAAAAATCCATCTGACCTAAATCCTGTACAATCCAGATAATAGGACATAAAAAATTCAGCTTAACATATACCAAAAATCCAATGAAGATAAAAATTACTTTTGATTCACATTACTGCACCCTTGACTGAGAGTTATGCTCAACAGATTAAAGAAAAGAAACAAATTTCCCTAACTACAAGATAGATGACTGTGACCCCAATATGATTTCTTCAAACATCGAAACTTCAACACTTTCATTCATTTGCTACATCAACCATTAACCATTATAAATTTACCAGTAACAAGTCCAATGTATATAGCTTCAATGATAATGAATAATTGAAATGACCATCATAACTATGGCCATTGCCACCACAACAGAATAGTTGTTTCACAAATATCACCTCTAAAAGAAAGATACAGTTACAACATTTAAAACAACAAACACAAAACTTGTGTCATATCACCTAAATTGGTGATAGTTACAAATTTAACCTTAACTTCACACTAACATATAGTACATTACTATTATTACTTACAACCTTGATCGATGACTGAATGCATAAGTTACTTTTACACTGCTTAGCAACAGTTCCACCCAATGATTCCTACATATTGCAACAATGAAATTTGACATTAGTATTGCTCTCTCTATAAGAATTGCAATTTAATACACATGTAACAATATAAATCAATATAAAAGAACCTCAATCAGCAAGTTTGCACTTGACTTCATGCATTTTTTGTTATACTTTCTTACAACCTTCTCGCATTTGGACACCTTCCTTTTGGTTGTTGGCCGACCTTTACATGCTACACATGTGGAGCTATGAATTGTATTCATTTGAATTGGACACTCTTCACCCAAATTGTAAGCAATGTCTTCGTCATTGGAATGTTTATTCAAAGAAGAACATATGGTTGGCAAGTTTGAAGTGAAATTATGAAGTGTTGTGTGAAGGTGATTGCTTGCTTCCTCAAAATTTGCAACTATTTCAGCCACATTATAGAAATGCTTACACAGATTATCATACCTCTCCTTCATTGGCTTCAATTCAATTTTATCATAGCTCGCCTTGATGTATGGATGTCTTCGTTTAATATTCTTGCTCCATCTATTAAGAATATACTTAGAAGGTACTTGCTTAACTCTTTCAATTTCAAGCACCGAAAGAGAATGTTTGCACATTATACCTCTGAATTCAAATAGCAAGCACTGACAACTAATGTCCTTACTTTCCCTATTAAAAATAACCTCAAACTTGGCTTCTTTCATCTGATTACCAAATATAAAATCCTCACACATATTGTATGAAATGATAGTTCTAACCTCAAATTTTATTGCTGTAGCACGATTCATTTTACCTCTAAATTCTGCTTGAACTTCAGCAAACTTGGCATTCGTATACTCAACTTGAAATTGTCTCTCAATAAGAGAGTTTGACCCACACTGAATTGTTATGTTCATTGTGCGAAAGTCAGTCTCCACTTCCTTCTCCACCTTGCTCCTTAATGCATTGTCATATTGCTTCATAAACTGTTGTAGGCTTGTCTTTGAGTTTAGATATCCATCACAAAAGGCATGTACACTCTTACTTCTTTGTGTGGTTGATAGTCCAACCCAAAAATCTTGTTTTAAATATATTGGCACCCATTTATGCTGGTCTTTAAATAATCTACACAACCATTGATTTTGTTCAACATCAAACTTCTTCAACAAAGAATACCATTTCTCTTCAAAATCATCCTTCGTTAGACTATCATAAATAGCATATTTCATTGCTGATTTGATTTGTTTATATTGACCAATCCCTTCAGGTTTTGTGGGATTTTTTTCATTATATGCCATAAATACCATCTGTGCCGAGTATTAGGCAAAACTATTGCAATAGCATTTTGCATAGCCTTACATTGGTCAGTCACAATCCCATTAGGTGCCTTCCCACATATGCATCTAAGCCAACAATTGAAAAGTCACACAAATGTTTATGTATCTTCTGCTGAAATTAAGCTACAGCCAAGTAAAACTGACTGACCATGGTGATTTACACCAACAAAAGCAGCAAAGGGCATGTCATACTTGTTGGTTAGGTAGGTTGTATCAAAACTAACAATATCTCCAAAAGATTCATATGCAGCTTGACTCTAGCATATGTCCAAAATATATTTCTTATCCGAAAGTCTTCATCAACATCAATATCATACCAGAACTGACTATTTTCTTCTTTCATCCTACAAAAATAATTCACCAATGCTTTTAAATCTCCTTTCTTGGCAATCAAACGTCTTTCCTTGTTAATGTAGTTTTTCACATCCTTTTCTATAAAATTCAAATTATCATGTCTACTAACATCATGAACAAGAGTTTGAAAAGTCTTGTTTTTCCTCACCCCTGCCTCACTGTGTAAATCAAGAGTTCTTCTCACATGCATGCTAATATTCTTATTTTTTTAAAACATTCTAGCCTTCAAAGGACTCAATCTATGAGAATGTTGTAGAACAACTATTTTTATAGACCATTTTTCGGATCCCCCTTTCTTTGCTGTGATCTTTGCCTCACATTTGGCATCTATCCTAGGAAGTGTCTTCAAAGTTGTTGGTACCTTTGAAGAGCTCTTTCCTTCTCGTATGCATGCAAGTATCAAATAGTTTAACTCTCCATCAAGGCCTTTATTTGAATTTCTAATCTTTCATCTGAAATCCACTTTAGTTGAATAGTTCTTGTAAAATACTTTAATAGCTTCAACATCATCAAACTCCATTCCAACACTTGGCTCAACTATGTCAGAGCTATCACAACTATCATCCTCACTAGTAACTTCACACACGGGCTCAACATTTTCGTTGTCATGCTTATGTGGTTCCTCCGCAATAAACTTTTGCACCTCCATATGCTTTAAATGTTCAAGCTACAACCTGCAAAAGACACACAAAATAGAAACAAAAAAATTAAACTTTATAAAACAGAGGGTGTACTATAAAACAGAGGGTCATGGACGTGAGCTTTGTCAAAGACCCACTTACCAAAAACTATTTAGCTTAAATGCAAGACCCTGGGTTTCCGATTTGTATTGCACCACCTTTGATAGGACTCATGTATCATTCAGATGAGAATTAGGACAGCAAACTCACACACAGTAATGCAGAGTGTAGGATGAATGTAACGTGAATAACAAATTACATGACAAAGATGTAGTTTTAGCAGAGGAAGAATATGATTGGATTAAAGAACTTGATATTTCTCATGTAGACGTGAGAGGAGAAGTGGGAGAAATGAAGTGACATAGTAAATTGCTCAAATGAGAGACAACATCCAAATACCTAAGACTAGTCATAGGAGAGGAGGAGGAAAAAGAAAAAAGAAGAAGAAGAAGCAGCAGAGAACAAGTGAGAGGAGAAGTGGGAGAGACAAAGTGACATAGTAAATTGCTCAAATAAGAGACAACACCCAAATACCCAATACTAGGCTGCATGAGAGGAGGAGGAGAAGTGGAAGAAGAAGAAAAAGAAGAAGCCGAAGAGAACAAGTGAGAGGAGAAGTGGGAGAGACAAAGTGACACAGTAAATTAATCAAATGAGAGACAACACTGATGACTTATATTTTGTTCCCATATTTATAGTCTTATTGCATCATTTAGATGTCTTTTCATTCCCTTATTTCTTCCATTAGTGTGTTTTTGCATTTCTCACATTAATTAGGAACTTTTGTAAATACTCATTTTTTGGTTCATATTTTCTATTCTGACCTTTGTTCACTAATTTGGCCATAATTTTTCTGTAGATATCCTTTTTGGTTGATTCTTTTTGCATTAGATTCCTTACTTCCGGGGCTTCAATTTGGACATATGGATCATGCTGTTTGGAGTTCGGAGCTATTTTCTACATATTTTAGAAGTTCAGACTTTTAGCTTGACTTTTGTATTGATTTTGTATTGCTTTTGTTTTTAAGGTTTTGTTGTATTTATTTTCGGCCCAGCCCTAGCCCATTCATTTTTATTCATTTAGGACTACCATTTATAGAGGTCAGGGGCTGATTTCGAAGCACACTTAATTCCTTTTTTTTGTTTTTCAGTTTTGTAAAACTTTCTCGCTTCCAATAAATCTCTCATTTTTTTTTACCCATTCTCTTATTCTCTTGCACTTTTTAGAATTCCATTGCATCTTGCTTTGCATTTATGGTTGAAAGACGTTTAGAATTCTGCAATTTTGAGTTGTTTTCTTCTGCATTTCGATCTCAATTGCATCACCAAGTTCTGGATTGCACTTGCTCGAACAAGAATTGGAAAATCGATTGATGCTCCGAGTTTGTTTTCTGACCTTACATTTTGCGATTGCACAGGAAGTATAATTCGATTCAGTTGTGCCTCCTTTTCTTGATTGTATAACAAATAATTGATTAGTTGATTTGTTGTGCATAAGAGATTTAAGCAAATTCGGTATAATCAATTCACGTTTGTGTTTGTGTTCTGGATCTTGGATTGTGTATTTAAGTTTTTTTTCAGTTTTCATTCTCAGTTTCTCATTTTCGATTTTAAATCTCATTTTCGGTTTAATTGCAATTGATTTTACTTGCATTACAATTTACGTTTCGTTGTTAATTCAATTTGCATTTATTGTTCACAATTTAATTTTTTGCAATTTTTGTTTGAATTAATCACAAAAACTTCCCAAACATACAACATTTTATGCATAATTGATATTGAAACCATGTGCATTTGCATCCTTGTGAGAAATGACCTAGGTTGCTCCCTAAACTGCATTTTTGTTTGAGGAATCTAGCTTAGTTTTGATACCATTACGATGTGGATGTCAAACACCCAAATACCCAGGAGTAGGCCGCAAGAAAGGAGGAGGAGGAGGAAGAAGAAGAAGAAGAAGAAGAAGAGAGGAGGAACCAGAGGCACGATAGAGTTACACGACGTTCTTGTGATTTTTTTTTAAGTTTGGTTAATAAGTTTAAGCAGTATACTCACATGTGTAGAATAAGTAATATGTAACCTTGTATTTGGTTACTGTTACTATACGGTGTTGGGTACAGATGATCGTGAGTGTCGCGCTCGGATAAATTAATAAAAACTGAATTGCATAAAAATTATGTAGTAAGAGGTGCAATATGAGTCGTCTTCCAATGATGATAACATTATACGATTATAAATTTAGAGGAGTTTGATTTATAGAATAACACTAATTAGAATCAAAAGTTAACAAGAATTAAAGGCTCTAATCCAAGAATTTAGAAGAACTACGACCACTCTATCACCGGATTCCAAGAAGATGCATCAACCAACAAATTAATGATTAACATTAAATTTGAATGAAACCTCAATTCAAATTAAGCATTCACACGAGAATCCTCATGCATTCGATTAACACACAATTCGCTCAAAGTTCAGAAACCTCTAGAACCTAATCGATTTGTGTTAATTTAATTCACCAATGTCATTAATCTTATATTTCAAACTAGAAAATCTAATTCACTTTCCTTCAAGAATTAATTACATACATCAACCGAATAATATGTAATCAAACAGCTGCACAATTATCAATCCAAACGAAGAACTTCAATTTGAAATCATAATTAGCAAAAGGAGAAAGAAGGAAGAGATGAAACCGAATTTGTTGTTGAATAAATTGCGAAACCGATCCTCAAGAGTGTCTCAACCCTTTTTCAATCCTTGGATTAGAAGGAAGTCTAAGCCTCCATTAATGGAGGAAAACGAAAGGTAAAAATAGAAGAGACAAAAGAAGAAGAAAACAAAAATCCTAAAACATAAACCTAATCTAACCTGACGTCTCAACCAACCCTTTTACAGCCTGCTGTCCTAATTTAAATACTGGCTCTTAAGGGTCAAAACATAAAAACTAATTAATAATTATTCAATTACATTAATCCTCTACTCAATAACTGTCTCTGGAATCCTTATTTGTTCAAGTTTGAATTTTGGAGGGAAAGTTATGCTTGTAATTGCTGCCTAGCATCCATACTGAATCTGAGAAGATATTGTGTGGTATTTTTTACCATGAAGATCTATCCGATTCAATTTTTGATATGAAGAGAAATTGTAGCCCTGGATGTTAGCTTCAAAACACAACTGGAATGGGCTTAAACGGACATCTGTGGACTGAGATATGGCCCAAATATTGCACCAAGGTCAGAAACTGCGAGTGCAACGTTTTAACTTTTTTCAGGCCCAGTTTCGGCTTCTTATCATCCGAATTGATTTCTGACCTCTCATAGGAATTGTGCGTCTTTCTCTTAGCTTTCCTACAAATCAAGAATCATAATGAAATGAGCTCTACAACTCAAGATATGACCTAAAAATCAAAACAGTATCAAAATTTGCCTAATGCTAAAAAAATTAAATAAAGCTCAAATAAAATCCAAACATCATAAAATGATTCAATTCAAACCAATTAGACACAAAAGAGGATTAATGAATTAGGAATGAGAAAAAATAAGATTGTAAAAATTTCAATTTATCAATAAACACTAAATCTAGGTGTTTGAATAGCATTATTGATATAAGAAAGAAAGAAGAGGAAAAACAAACCCTTTTGGCCTCAATCGCATTAAAACAACTTGGTTTACAATATTTTGAGTCAGAATGCAAAGTAGCATACAACAACAGAAGTACAAGGAGAGAGTGAACAATGAAGACCTGCACTAGAGCGCCAATCCCTACCAAAATAAACCTTAATTTTTACAAATCTTAATTTGTTTTCTAATGTTGTAAATCTTAATTTTGCAATGAAGTAGATATTTATAGATTGGAAAGTGCAAATATAGCAAAAAGGAAAAAACAACGATGCAAGATGAGTATTGCTCCATTCTACTCAATACACGTGACAGTCTATTATAATAATATAACAGTAATAATAATAATTTATTATTACTTTATCTCGTATGATATTATTATATTTATTATATATGTCAGTCTCTTAAGTAATATTAATATTTTGAGATGATAATTTATTAAAATAATAATAAAATTTATTATTATTTATGTATAAACAATGTAACTATTAATATGACAAAAAAATATCAGAAAAATTAATTTTATAAAATTTTTATTTTAAAAAATTATTTTTAAAAACATATTATTTAAATACGGAAAGTGGAGTCATCTACCGATGAGGATAGTGTGCTATAAATGGTTGCAGCGTCACTGTGATAAATGTTAATTTATTAGTTAACTATCATATAATTTATTATATTGATTGATATCATATCATATTATCATCACTAATCATAAACATATCCTGAAAGCAAAAGAAAAAAAAAAAAAAAAAAGGTAGGAAATGGAGGGAATTATCCGGTGCTCCGCGAACTACGTTCCTCTCACTCCGATCAGCTTCTTGGAGCGTTCCGCCGTCGTTTACCGTGACAGACCCTCCGTCGTCTTCGGTGATGTCACCTACACGTGGGCACAAACGCACCAACGTTGTATCAAACTTGCTTCTGCTATTTCAAAACTCGGCGTTTCACGCCGTGACGTGGTTCGTTTCTTTCTCTCTACCCTTTTCATCTATTTCGCACCTAATCAACTGTTTGTAAAAATTACCCATATCATTCTATCAAAATATGTGTTTTTATTATGTATTGATATTTGATTGTACTAGAGTATGATTTATTAGCATCTTTGATTTCACATGTATATGAATCTACGTTTACTTGGTCGTAGTTTATTCACTGGGTTTTAGATTTACTAGTTGTAGCTTTTGGATTGAATTTAATTTTACAAGTTTTCAAACGCTGTTCACAAACATATGCTTACTCCCTTTTGCTTGGAATGGATTATGGAACATTTCATATCGATGTAATTGTGATTATTTGTGGTTTTTATGAATTTGAGCAGGTTGCAGTTTTGGCCCCTAACATTCCAGCTATGTATGAGCTACATTTTGGTGTTCCCATGTCAGGGGCTGTTCTCTGTACGCTAAATACACGTCACAATTTCACTATGGTTGCATTGTTGTTGAAACATTCTGAGGTCAAAGTTCTTTTTGTTGACTATCAGTTACTTGATGTTGCTCAAGGAGCACTTGAGATCCTCTCAAAAACAACCACAAAGCTTCCCCTTTTGGTCTTAATTTTGGAGTGTAGCAGTGGTCATGCACCACCCCCCTCTGCTCCTGGAACGTTGATGATATATGAGGATCTTATAGCTAAAGGGAACCTTAACTTTGAGGTGAGAAGACCACAGGATGAGTGGGATCCCATCTCTCTCAATTACACTTCTGGAACTACATCAAACCCCAAGGGTGTAATCTATAGCCACAGGGGTGCCTATCTCAATTCCCTTGCCACGGTTCTTCTTAATGAGATGAGGTCTTTGCCAGTGTATTTATGGTGTGTTCCCATGTTTCATTGCAATGGTTGGTGCCTCCCTTGGGGCATTGCTGCTCAGGGTGGCACAAATGTCTGCCAAAGAAATGTAACTGCTGAGGGGATATTTGACAATATTTTTAAGCACAAGGTAACCCACATGGGGGGTGCACCAACAGTTTTAAACATGATAATAAATTCACCACCCGAAATCAGGAAGCCACTTCCCGGAACAGTGGCAGTGATGACAGGTGCTGCACCCCCGCCACCTGATGTGTTTTTCAGGATGGAAGAACTAGGATTTACTGTGACTCATTCTTATGGTTTGACAGAAACCTACGGTCCAGGATCAATTTGCAAATGGAAACCAGAATGGGATAGCCTATCAAGAGATGCACAAGCAAAACTCAAGGCCCGTCAAGGAGTGCACCATCTTGGAATTGAAGAACTCGATGTTAAGGATCCTCTCACTATGAAGAGTGTGCCAGCTGATGCAAAAACCATGGGCGAGGTGATGTTTAGGGGCAACACTGTGATGAATGGTTATCTAAAGGATTTGAAAGCAACACAAGATGCATTTAAAGGTGGATGGTTTCGGAGTGGTGACTTGGGAGTGAAGCATCCTGATGGTTACATAGAACTTAAGGACCGATCAAAGGACATAATCATTTCTGGGGGCGAAAATATTAGCTCCATTGAATTGGAAGGTGTGATTTTTAGTCATCCAGCAGTTCTTGAGGCAGCTGTTGTCAGTAGACCTGATGATTTTTGGGGAGAGACACCTTGTGCCTTTGTGAAGTTGAAGGAGGGACACAGTGCTACTGCAGAGGAAATAATACAATTTTGTCAGAGCCGTTTACCTCGTTATATGGCTCCTAGAACTGTGGTGTTTTCTGATCTGCCAAAGACATCAACTGGCAAGACACAGAAATATGTTCTGAGGGAGAAGGCAAAGGCCATGGGAAGCTTGTCTAAGAAGAACACTAGCCGGTTGTAATGCACATTTATCTTGAAATGTGAATGCAATGTTTTCAATGTTATGTGGTTTTATGTTGTTGTTATTTTCTCTTGTATTTAAAATGGAATTTGATTATTTGCATGAATAAAACACTTACTCAAAGTCAGTGGGACTAAGTTGATCTTTTTTCTTCACTAAAAGTTACCTAAAATTATAAATGATCTGTAATTCTCTTATAGCCTTATTAAAGAGAAATAGTGTAAACTCCTAAATTGGACCTTCAAATTTTTGTCATTAAATCAACATTAAAAAAAATCAAAATCAATTTTTTGTCTCATAGATATAGTCTTCGTTAAACACGAATTTGATTTTTAAAGGATTGATAATATTTAGAGGAATTATGATGTGGACACTGCAATCTTTGGAAAGTTGCTCGAAGAAATATTAGGTTCATTCTGTCTTATTAAGGTCCTCATGCAGTGGATGCCCATGTCATTTGCGATTGTGATTGGATTCAAGAGCCTATCGTCGACAAGCCTGCAAAAGCCTTTAATCTTTTTTTGACAAGAATAGGTCTCTTAACTGCTATTCTTGTTTGCCCTCTGACTATTCGACAAAATGTGAGGTAGAAACTTTCTTAAATCTTTAGAGGTGAAAGCAACTTTTCACTCAAACTATCTTTGGGTGTAGGCCCCTCTGTCACAAAAAAAAAAAAAAAAAAAAAGTTACAAATACTACCCGAATTTTATTAAATTTATATTTGAAAATTACGTATTATTTATAAGGAAAATATTTCAGAGACCCCTGTTGAGTGCATGCATCCAAAGAAAAATAAGAATAGAAAATAGACAAGTTAAAAACATAATTAAGACTAAATTAATAAATTAATCTTTTAACTCTTTATTTTGTTTATAAACTTTTTTTTTAATTTCAATCTCTTAACTTATAAAAATGTATCACACAAGTCAATTTAAAAAAAAAAAAATTGTTAAATCTATTAAATATTCATTGATCATTTTCAAGTGAACTTTAGCAAACATATTATTTTGGCAATTTTTTTAGATGTATTCTTTCTTTTTTTCATTTTTTTCTCCTTTTTTTTCTTTCTCTTATTTCTCATCTATATATTTACAACTTGTTTTTCTCCTTCCATTCAAACTATAACAAAAATGTTAACTTTTTTCTCTTCATCTTTTTCTTATTCTCTTATCCTCATTCATGAAAAAAGACAGTGAGATATGATGACAATATCAAAATTGATATAATGTCACTATAATTGCTTAGCTTTCTGACTTTTCTTATAACCACATAACTGAGAAGATTTTTTTGAGTTTAAAAAGGGAAAATGATATGAATAAGAATAAGAGGATAAAAAAAGAAAGACAGAAAAAATATAATATTTTTGTTAGAATTTGAAAAGAGATAAAAGCAGGTCTTAGAGACATGAATTAAAAATAACAAAAATAGGATTAGACAACCATCCAAGTTCCAAACAAAATTTGATGAAAACATATAAAAATCAGTATAATTGAAAAGGTGTATTTGAGTTTCAGTTTATATCATGAAAGAAAAAAAGAATTTATGACAAGTTTCAATGGTAAGTTTCGGATTTGATAATTTTTTTAAAATAGTTTATGCACTTGATCAACATGTGGTGGCACATGAGTAATAGTAATAAACTATCAAGTTACCCATTCAAAAACTTTTTATTTTTATTTTTCTTGGAGTTCATGGACTGAAGATGATGAAAAATGATTTTTTAATAAAATTAAAATTTTTAAAAAATATTTAAAACATTTTTTATGTTAAAAGAATTAAAATGAGAAAAAAAAGTTAAAAGGAATAAATTGAATCTGTAGTTAATTAATGATGCAACATAGGAAAAATAATAAATGTTGATGTATAGTAGTCATATTTATAAGTTGAATAATTACCAGTAAACAGAAGATATTGACATATTTTTATAGTAAAGAATTGTATTCGTCAATGCTCAACTGGGATTATGTTTATGTGGTCGTGCTTAAAAATGGTAGACGCACTCAAGTTGCAGTGGTTTCCCAAAGAATTGATGACGTACTCAAATTCAAATGAAGTGGAAGTGTCAAATTGACCAATTTCACTTTTTGTTGAGGAATCGTTTCAATTTTCGTTTAGTAGTTTCATTTTCCTTTGCTTTGAAAACGCAGCACAAGCCACAAACATAGTCTCAGAAGCATGTTGATCTCTTATTGCCCTTATACACGAACACTAATTACTTCTTACCGTAACTACTAATCCATAATCTATACACATAATATTCTAGATCTAAAAGGATCACTATAGTTGAAGCTTCAATACACGAAGCGTTTGAATACTATTTAAACACTTATTCAATAAATGGGTTTAAAGAATGACTTATATCATCATGAATTTATCAAAGAAGCTTATTGAAATAAGCAAAATAAACTCATTTTGATAAGTCATGCCAAAATTTTTATTGAAATAAGTTAAAAACACTCTTAATTGTTCATAAACTCTTCCACAAAGCTCCATAATCTTCAATGGAAACGCTCAAGGCCTCCCCTTCGCAACTTGCATTGCAAGTCACAAAATCATCATCCCCCAAGCCATCGATATCCCACCACAACAAATCATCAACACTACTATTGTGCACGTGATCATCATCACCACCAATCCTCTTTTCATTCTCGTATGTTTCTGCCACCGTCGACGTTTCCCCCGCAACAATGTTTCTGGCATCAACATCCATGCCAGCATCGGAAGCCACCTTCTGAACAGACCTAGGAGACATGTCCCTATGCTGAACACAGTAAGAAGACAAGGTTTCGGGGAAGTTAAGTTTGTCCAACTTTGAAGGTCTCCTTAGAAAATAGACAGCAACGTCGTGAGCCACCGCCGCAGCCTCCGGCGTGGCGTAGGTTCCCAACCACAAGCGTTCCTGCGTCCCCGGAACACGAATCTCCGACACCCACTTCCCCCATTTCCGACGCCGAACTCCCTTAAACTTCTTGTCCCCATTCGGGCTTGTTCCATGCAACGCTGAACTCCAACTCATTTATTCGATACTAATGAGTTTATATGTATAATAAGTCTATTGTGAAACATGCAAGTGCATTGTGAAAGAAGATGGTGAAGAGGGGGTGCTTATAAAGGGTTGAACAATTTGAGAGTCAGAGCCAGAGCCAGAGCCACCCCCATAGGGGGGTGGCGACAAAGGGAAAAAAAAAGTCAAAATTTTCAAAGTCAAAGTAAAAATTAAACTTTTCGGATGTACCAAATAATATAAAATCTTTGTGGTTGCATTTAAGTCTTGCAAGTTGGAAGCATAGCGGGATGGGCAGCAAGCACACCGACTCATCTAGTAATTAATACTTTACTATGTATATCTATAATCCAATTAGATTTTGAAATTAAAATTGTTGATCATTGATGTTAAATAGTGTTCAATATATTTTAGTTTTAATTATTTTAAAATATAAATATTACTTTTTTTGTTTTTATATAATTAAATACAATTTTGGTCATGCTTTTGTATTAATATTTTCATAAGACTCGTTATTACTAATTTTTATTGAGCAAGGATAACGGGGAGATCCCCATCCACTTGTCAAAACGTGATGAGGAATTTCCGTTTACATTGCTTTCAGTATTTTATAAATCCCACGCGCACGTCTGGGAGGTGCAATTCATAGCCCTTGTATCGAATGGACCTCATCTGTGGTGTGCGAGATATTTCCGCACAACGTAAGTGCGTGTGATGAGTCGCGCGTGGATACTGATACCATTTTATGTCACAGGTGACGTTGGAAACTATAGCCGCACTGGTAAATGTAATAACGTGTTCGACAATTCCTTTGGACCTCTTCTTGTTCTTTGTACGGTATGACAACCTAGATATGTAAAACTAGCACGTGTTTACTTTATCCTAATATTTAATAATAAAAGTTAATGGATAGTAAAAATTAATATTATTAATATATTAAATGTTATTATATTATATATAAATTTGTATTCTATTTTTTTGAGCACATATTAAAAAATTAAATACTTTTATCTTATAACTTAAAAGTCCATTTGAAAGTAATGTAAGCAAAAAATTGCATGATTTTAGATAATTCAGAGTCAATTGAGGGCCAAAACACTTGAGTTGATCGTATCAAGGGAAGGTTACATGCCCACGAGTGTTTTCATGGTATACTAATAGAGGTTTTGGCAGATATCATAAAAAGATTCCACAAATTATGTCTTTAATTTGTTTCCTATCCTTACTAATATTATCCTTTTATTAAAAAGAATGGAGGATTGTAATGTGATGGAGGCTTTTATTCGAAAACGTAAAAGAGTATGCAAATGATGCATCATTCCTGTTTCTCTCAGTATGCTCCCTCCCACTAGAGGCCACTTGTGTTAAGAGAATGGTTGACGGGTTCAATTGAGGCTTCAAACATTGATGAGAACCACATGTAGCAATAAATATCTAAAGCACATTTATGCTATCTAGTGGGAACTTGGAGCACAAAATATTGATACAAAAAGCGCAAAATTGTTCATTTCTGCTTCTTTTTTTTGTCACTTTCTCATTGGTTTCACATTCCATTTTCTTGTTAGGCCTAACTACCAAGCCGCTAGTTGATCATTGTTTTTCGGAGACAATGAAAAGGGCCTTTTTCTGCTGATTCATTGATTCGCTTCATAGAGCCTAATCTACCACTTTGGGCTGAATACGTGAGTATTGCCTTCAAATGAAGACAAAAATAAATAAATAAACAGTTTTTTATTAAGTGATTACAAAAACTCTTTCACATTATTCACCATAGGATGGATGTCCTAAAATTAAATATTCACTAAGGATGTATTTAAATAAATAACTTAATTAAATTATTGGTTATTAAATTCTTATAAAATAAAGGTTTATTGAAAAGCTTTACTATGAAGCTTATCATTAGAAGTTACAAGATATTAATTTGATAAGCTTTTCACTGAAATAAACCAAGAAATTATAGAGGTCAAAAGCTATTTTTTAATCTCAGATCTGTTAACTTTTTGGAGGAGAAACAAAGGGCCCAAAATGTTTCCTCCTAGCTCTTTTGCTCCCTTCCAGTATTGGATAGAACTTTAGAAGAAAACATAACATAATTATATGAACTAAAGTGCTAGTGGTTGGATCTCTATTACATTAAAAGGGTCTAGAGTTTTTTTTGTTTTTTTTTTTGGGTGGTTTAAAATAAGTCTATTGTGAAAACAATGGTTAAAATTTTATCATTTTCACAATTTTAATTTAAACCTTCAAAAAGAAGAATAATAATAAATTGAATTTTCAAAACATACTTATTCCCTTCCTTCGCCCTTTCCTCCCTTCTATAAAATCGCCCATCTTTCTGCTTTAAACCAAAGAAGGTGTGAAAGAAATACAACATGATTAGCGAGCAAAAGAAAAACGACCAAAGGAATCCCTTTCATACCACCACTTGAATTAAGGATCCAATTAAATTTAGAACTAACTTGGAGAAAAAAATATTATCATTTCAAAATATAATGTTATAAAAAGTGATATATAGTTGTGTTTGTGACTGAAAATTGTTGGCAGATCAGCTAAGTTTAAGTTGCGTAGGTGTCCCACAAAGAGTTTTGTATTTGATTGAATTAGCTGATATGGATCAATTGATAATTGAACACAAATGATCCCTTTTAAAGTTATTGGGTGATTGCACCAAAGGAGGGAATTTGTTTTTTGACTATGGGTTCCCAAGATACTCAAGAAAAATATTTTGGAGGTTATTCTAGCGAAATATAGCTAGAAACTCACTCATCAACAACCTGCTGAGTGGTCTGCAGATCCAACGGATGAGATTTCAAGCTAGATCAATTTTATTCATCTTTGTTGTACAACCTAGAATTGATTCTCTCTCTCTCTCTCTCTCTCTCTCTCTCTCTCTCTCTACCAAGGATGTGTGCTACCAAATAAATTAGCTTTCGTTCAAGGTGGAATTTCCTCCAAATGCCCATTTAAGTTGCAAACTGTCATGAACCAACTATTTCGAAAATGCTTACAAGTGAAGACACATAAATGATGAAATTCAACTTTTCAATTAGAAGAATGTGAGTGATAGGAATTGAACTCTAGATTACAAAGCAGAGGGACGACAACCAAGCAACTTTCATAATACATCTCTATCATAAACCAAACAAGCACTTCATGATCAGTTATCCCAAGAGACAAGATGCTGGTTGGGCATCTTAATTGACAAGCCATTAAAACTTACGAAGGAGAGAACCAAATTTTGGAATGCCATTATCAAATGTGAATTTTAAAATGGTGTATGTATTGTATACAGAGTAGTAACATTGAAACCAAAAAAGAAAATGTTGTACATTTGCCACAATCTAGACTCAAAATATACAATATTAGATACAGCGATATAAAAAGGAAATATTACCTTGCTAATGATCAAAGGAATGTTTTGATTTCTGATATAGCATAATGACGTCTAATTGAAAGCATTAGTCACAGAATATAAGAAGTCCAAGAAGCCAGTTCCCTTTAAAAGACCCTTACCTGTTAACAGCTCAAAATCCAACAACACAAGGAAACCAATAATAGCTGCTCTCCCGTTTATTATTTCATTCTTCCCAGTAAAACCAAATCCCTCTTGATCATCATCAACCACCATTTTGACCTAAACACGTAATAGAAATAGTTAATAAGCCAAAAGGACAGTTGAATTGGTCCAAAATTATTTATCAGAAATGTTACAATTATTACCTCTTCAACATTGACATCAGTTGCCGTTACACCAGGTTGAGCCTTCCCACTAAAGACAATTTCAGCAGAAGCATCAGATTTCAGACCTCTGCTCATGCTAATATAAATATTCTGTTCATCTGTTTTCACAGGATATACAAAGAGTTTCCTCAAAGCAGGCGTGAGAACTCTCAGAACAGGATTTTTCGGATACCATTCCTTGATCTCTCCTGTTTGTAGATCAAATGTGCTATCAGTTGTTGGGCAAACTATACATCCATCCTGCATAAACATAGGAATTTTACAAGCTCAGCTCAATTAAGTCAAAGTGTCAAACTATATCTCACACATGAATAAATTTGCAAGGGTGGGGATGGGTTTCACAGAACACAAAAAATTCCAGAAATTACAGAAGTTTTTGAGCAGGAACACTAGAAATTGGCAAGGGTTTCCCAACTGACATTCTATTCTAATGCAATGCACGCCGTGCACACAGCATAATAGACCTAAAGCTAAGGTGACTACGAGTAAGTTTGAATAAATTTCTCAACTAACACTTGTTGAAGAAAATAAAATGAAGCAAGGAGGTAAAATGAAACAGATTTCTGACACAAGTTGAAGTCAACTTATGCACCTAACTCTTTCAGAAGCTCCTAACTTCTCTATAAACACCTATAAACTTAACAGAGCTAGGCATTTTTACCTTGGAAAGGTTTTACAATTGAAAAGCTTTCATTAGCTACAAGCTAATCCAAACTGAGCCTATATCAATGAAAATCTTACTTTCAGCAGACCAAGAGGAACTTCAACTCTGTACATTTCCCTTTCGCTGCCTAACCCTCGTTGGATTGTCATTGAATTTTCAAATAAGATAAATCATTCACCCAATTGCAACATCAATTCAGTATATTTCAACAACATACAATGGAACCACAAAGAGAACTATCTCATAATATCATGTCTAATGCTTAAGGTAAGGGGAAAGTGGGAAATAGAATTATAATAAAATCTGCACAACTTATCATTGTGAATAATGAATGATGCAATTAACTATGGCATTTACAAAGAAAAGGAAAGAACTTTGGAATGAAGAAGACCTGGGTAAGCTTGGCATTGATCAAGCCTTCAGTATAGGCGCCTTCAGCAGGGGACCTATTTTCAATGGCGAAAACTTGATCTTTGTACCACAACAGCAATATGGTCTCGCCGTCCTGAATGATCACGCGCCGCTCCCCCTTCGGCAGCGCCGCCATCGGCACCACCGGAATCCAGTTGTCTCCGGACGCCGACGACTCTTCGGCGACGGAAACTTGGGTGGCTTTGCATATGAGTCGGAGAGAATTGGTGGGAGAGTGAGAGCGGCGTTTTGAGTGGCATAGAATGAAGGGTTTGGGAGGAAAACGGAAACGGAGAATATTGGTTTTGGAGAATGAAATTGAAAGGGGTAAAGAATTTGTTGTAGCCATTGAAATGGAAATAGTTTCTTAGTGAAACTGTGATTTGAGTTAGAGAGAGAAAGTGAAAGACTCTGCTTCTGCATCATTGCATGTGTCATGTGTGGTGTCCACACAAAACTCAGGATAATGAATCAACTCACTCTATTCCTATTAGCCACAAACACTTGTTAATAAATTAAGACTTTTGCAAATCTCACTCTTAAGATCTATGAATAAAAAATTATATTTATTATATTAAAGTTAAAAAAAAGTATAGATGAAATTAATAAATCACATAAATTAATATTATATTTAACATTTAATTAATCATTTTAAGTTAAATAACATTGATAAAATCATTATAAATGTCAAAATCCTCAAATTGTTGATACAATATTTGATAAATTTTTAAAAAGTTACAGTTGACAATTTATAAGGTGAGTTTTAATTGATTTTTTTTTCTTGATAATCCATCTATATTTTTATTTTTCAAAAATAATTGAGATTAATGAATTATCGGCTTCTTAAAACTGAAAGAGTCTCTTTTTATTTTATTGTTGTGAAATTATATGCATTGTGTTAAAAATAAATCTTTAATTAAATTTTTATGAATATTATTAACTATTAAATCGAGTGTGTAACTATCTAAGAACTATTCATTAGCACGAGTATTGGAAAGCCACTTTGATGGGTTTTCATCTAAATTTTGACCAGAAAATTGGATAAAAAAGCAATGAAGGGAGGCTTCGAATAAAGTCCGAAAAGACCCAATTGATAGCCACCGGCCATGAGAAATAATCTTTAGGCCTTTCATTGATATTTCAATTAGACTTTTTTATTTATTGGACCAAAACAAAAATCACTTTAGCATTTATAATAAAGTGAAATACACTTCACTTTCTTTTGTGGACCCAAAAATAAAAACTTCACTTCTCTTTTTATACCTTTGTAACTTTTACTCTCTTTTTTTCTCTATTAACTTTCACTTTAAATAAGATTTCGCAACAGAGTCTTATAAATAAAAGAAGAAATTTTAAAAAAACTTTGTCTCTTTAAATAAAACAAACTTGACTTATAAAGGTTTAATGTGATTGTTTAATATTAAAAAATTAAAAAAAAGGCATTCTAATTAATACATTGATTATGACCTAGATATGAAAGTTTAATGTTCTTTTTATCATTTTTAGGTCGGTATGGTAAGGGACCACTTTCTGTAATTATTGTACCATTTTCTTTTTTATATCTATATATTTGATTAGGACAAACTTTACTAGTTTACTATTTTCCTCATATTTTTAAACCATTGACTAAATAAAATAATCAATTTGTAATTAACAACTGATTTTCAATCTCTAAGTTAATTAGATGAATTAAATTTAACTTCACCAAACAATTAATATTTGGATCAATTTATTTAAATAAATACTTCTTATTTTGTTATTATTGTTTTTAGAATTCTTGTTTTTTTAAAAGAAAAATGTCTTAAAATCACCTCCAAATTATGCACCAATACCCGGAAGCTAGATCATATGAAAAAAAATTATCTTTCATAAGTATTAGTAGGTGACAGACTAGCAATTGTTTGTGTTTGCCACTGAGATGAAATAAAGTAGAATGACATTTTAATTAGTGTCATCATTTGCAATTTTTAAATTACGTATAGTGAATAAAAATGGAATGAGAAGCAACCTGTTTTATTTAAAATTCTTACCTCTTTCTCATATAATTTAAAATTTTGAGAAAATATGAGAGTAGTTATTATTATTATTATTATTACTAATTTTTTTTAACAAATTATCATTTTGAACCAACTCCATCCCATTGCATAGCAACTTACCATCTAATTATATGAAAATTTTTATTTGAAATTTTTTAGATAAGAGAAAAAAAATTGCTCTATTATTATTATTATTATTATTATATGTTTAATTTCTCTTTTAAAAACTGTTTTCAGTTTTCAAAAATAAATTATAATACAAATTTGTATTACAATTTATTTTTAAAAACTGAAAACAAATTTCAAAAGAAAAAGCAAACATGCTCTTCCAAAACTTTCTTAAATCTCTATTTTTTTAACTTCTTTCATTTCAAATTTTTTTTATTAACACTCATTTTCTTCTTCCTTACCTTTCAAACATTTTTTTTACTCTCCTTCCAAATTCTCAACAAAAATCCTAAAAAAATGTTAATTATATAATAATTTGTATAAAAGATGAGAGGTGTGCAAAAAACAAAATTATTTAATAAGATAGATGTTTATTTTTATAGCATGAAGAAGGACACAAGGTGTTAAATGACCAAGCTTACACAAGTTTTTTTTTTTTTTTTTATATATGAGTGTGGAAGAAGTAACAGCATCAAATATGGATGAACCACAAACCATGAGGATCAAAAAATATTGTAAAGAAAGAACCTAATCTAATACCATATAAGGAATTGAGTTTGAAACCTAACTTTATTCGTTATACATAAGTAGTACATATAGATTACAGTGTAAATAGAATAGTAACAGAACAATTAATAAATTGTTAGTTTTCTATATTCCAAATAATTCGTTGTTACTTTTTTTTCATCTTTTACTCTTCAAACTTTATATATATTTTCTCCTCTCCAAACTTTCAAATAAAAAAATAAATAAATAATGTTAGTTATATAATATTTTGTATAAAAGATGAAAGAAGTGAAAAAAAAAGGAGAAAACATTTAATAAGAAAAAAAATTGATGAAAAGATTTTTTTTTTTTTTTTAAAAAGTTATCATGTTAAGCCAATAACAAAATCATTTGGAGTATCTCTAGTACTATTATTATTACTACAAATTTTTTTTCTTACGGTTATTACTATAACAAAACAAAACATTTTATTAATATTTAAACCATAACTTAATAAAAATATTATTTAGACTTAATAATATCTTTATTTAAATTATTTGTAGTTTTTTTCGCTCCATTTTCTTTTTTTATGGAGTGAGAAGTAATTATCAAGCTAATTTCTGTCAATTGAATTTGATTAAACTTGTACAATGCAATTTTGGAGCTCAAAGCTATTTGGCAAGTGCATATTAATGATAATTAAATTCGCTCTCATGAAAAACATAATATGCCCACACATTCTTGAGTTTCAACCACAAGGATCTAATTTTGTTAGAAGATCTTCTTGGAGTTTAGATTTTTTGTAGTATTGTTGTTGCTCATAATGGGTTGAGTTAAACAAATGAAAAATCCTAAATTTGTTTTCTCTTTTTTGCATAAAATAGAGGTTTTTTTTGTCATATTAGGATAAATTTTTTTTAAAAATTACCGAAATAGGGTATTAAAAAAATAATTTCTCTATTTGGAGTAAAAATGTCATGTGGCACGAATGTTGTCCAAATAAGAAATAACACTTATAATGATGTGACAATCTATCAGTGTGTTAGCTCACAATGGGATAAGACTAAGAGAGTGATAACATATGTCGTATCAGAAATTAATCTCATCTAATGTAGAATGCAGGAAAAACATGCTAATGAAAAATATAGATGGAATGTAATAAAAATAATAAATATTTAATATAGGAGATATAATAAATTTTGTATTTTGACTGTAGATTAAAGAATAAAAAAATATTTGTGAAATAAATAATATTAAATTTAGTAAAAAATAACATTTAATTTTTAAAAAAGAGTAAATAGAATATTTTTATTAAAATTATTGATAAAAACAACATTTACAATTATATTATAGAAAAGGTAAAATATGAAAAAAATATAATAATTATAAACAAATTTAAAATATCAGATTCATAAAAAAATTAATTATAAAATATAACAATAATGTCATCAAATTTATTTAAAACATTATATTTTTAAAATAAACTTTATGATTTAAGAAACAAAATTATTATTAAATAAAAATAATGAAATTAAGAAAATAATAAATATTGTTTAATATAAATAATTATAGAAATAAATTAAGTGTGATAAAATTATTTATTTATTTAAAATACGTGTTTATTTATTGTAATTATAAAATTTGAAAAGAAACTATATAAAAAGTCTTTGTTAATTAATTGAAATTTTTATTAAAATTTTCATAGTATGATATATAATAGTTAATTTATTGCATGAAAATATGTTGTGTTTTAAATTTAGAGTAATTAAATTTCTTGTTATGTATTATAATTGTAAAATTAAGTTTATAAGTTGTTAAATTCTTAATAAATAAAAATTAATATTAAAATAAAATAAACTTAAGAGTATGAATGTGTAAAAGTTAACCTAATTAAGAATTTCGTCTTCAAGTTTTACAATTGCTATCACAAATTTATGTATTTATAAGCCTTTAAATTGGATAAAAAAATGTATTAAAATTTTTATCCAGTAATCATATAAAAATAAGTTCAGTTCAGATGACATTGGAGTCGTCCCTGACATGGATGACTATAATGTCGATTCTGATATGGATGCTACAAAAAATGATCCACATATAAACGACATTAGTTTTTAGTGTAACACGTGTCATCATTCCGTTAGTCTTATCCTACTATGAGTCTACACATTGATAGATTGTTACGTCATCATAAGTGTCGTCACTTTAGTGTAACACGTGTCATCATTCCGTTAGTCTTATCCTACTGTGAGTCTACACATTGATAGATTGTTACGTCATCATAAGTGTCGTCACTTATGCCACGTCTTCTTAGACACTTGTGTCACATGACATTCTCACCTCATATAAAAAAATTATTTTTTTAACACCCTATTTTGATAATTTTTTTAAAATTTTTCTCAATATGGCAAAAAAAAAAACCCCTGAAATAGAAAAGGGGTTGGAATGACGAAAATACTATAATTTTTTTTTTGTCATATGCTTTTAGAGTTCCGAAATAAAAGAATGATCTTTGATTTTTTATTAATTTTTTTCCTTTGTATCGAAAAATTAGTTTGGTAGAACAGATATTTTCTTTGTTTGTTGATGGTTGATGACGACTTCCTATAGCTGCACCACACGATAAATTATGGTGCTAATGTGATGCAGACCCCAGCCACAACTTGACAATGATATATATGGATATTATGTAAAAAAAAGTAAATTTTTAAAATAGTTAGAGCATGTTTGATTTACTTTTTAAAATTATTTTTTAGTTTTTAAAAATAAATTTTAGTATAAATTCGTATATAAAAAAAAGTAAATTTTTAAAATAGTTAGAGCATGTTTGATTTACTTTTTAAAATTAGTTTTTAGTTTTTAAAAATAAATTTTAGTATAAATTCATATATAAAAAAAAGTAAATTTTTAAAATAGTTAAAGCATGTTTGATTTACTTTTTAAAATTAGTTTTTACTTTTTAAAAATAAATTTTAGTATAAATAAAAAGTGTTTTTAAAAAGTAAATTAAATATATTCTTAATTTTTTCAGTATTTTTTAAGGCAATTTTCAAGGGAAACAAAAGCAAGAAAACATAATAATTTATAAAGGAAAAAAAAATCTTAAAATCACTAAACTAGTTCGAGTTATAATTTTAGTGGTCGAAAATATGCATATTTTTGGCTAATAATATTTTTAAACATAAACTTTTATTAGTTTAAGTAACAGAAATTTATTTCAATTGGCATGTATTTTTAATTTACCTTTAAAATACAAAAATCAACACCAACAAATTAAAATCCGATATTATAGTTGATAAGCAATTGAACCTCATCATAATCAAAATTTAATATAATTTGTAAGATTATTCTTAAAAGAAAATGTTTTTAAAAGATTTCTTAAATGACAAAACTTCTAAGAGTCAGTTATCATGTCAAATATTTTTTAAAATTATTTTTTTAATTGAAATTTTGAATTGTTCATATTTTTTTATTTTTTTAAAAATATCTCTTTATTTAATTTTTATTAATATAAAAAATTATTAATATCCCGAAAAATTCATTAGTTATATAAGAATGAAAACGACACAGATAATCAAAAGAGACAGCAGGCCCACGTGCTTATCAATGGTGTTTATCTCAAATTAGTCTAAAAAATGTTGATAAACATTAATTACAAACGTCATGCACGTTCATCATTTGATCATCTACAACCACAATTTAACAAGCCACAACAAACATGACAAACCCTATATATAAGTCAATTAGATGTTCATTTTGTTGTAAGAAGAGCATTTGTTTCTCTTCTTCCACCAACTTTCGGACCTTTCTTTCCTTAATCTGTCTTTCCAAACAAAAACATACAAAGGGTGCAACACAATTAATTAATCTTAATTAATTGTGTTGTTGAAGAGTAAAAGGGCATGGACAGCCTTGAAGAAAAAGTGTTTGTGTTCATGGATGAACAACATTATTATTCAAATGAATTAGAGTTACATGGTTCTGTGGACAACCTATGTTGGTCGGACAACTCAAGCGACTCTGATGACTCACTAGAGAGGACTTTGTATTGGGAATCTCAGGTGGCACTGCTTCAGGTACTCTTCATCATCCAATTCAATATTGCATTAACTTTTTTGGTAATTTATATTGTAATCAAAGCTAAATGAAATAGAATCAATTACGATTGTGGGCAATTCTTATATATATTGGGCAAAAATATCCACTTCTTCTCATTAACACTACTTGATTTAGGGATAAAACATCAATGAATTTGTTTTCATTCAGCATCATCAATCAAGATATTCTTATTAGCTTGCTTTCATTTCTTTTATCAATCTGTTTCTAGTTAAGAACTTTTAAAAATTTTGTTTTATAATTTTTTTAAAGACTTTTCAATGAGTGTCTTAAGAATGTTAGTGTAAAAAGTTAATTTTGTAAGAAAAATGTATTGATAATGTTGTTTTTTCATAGTCTTTTTTAATTTAAATTTCTTAACTAATATCTTGATTAGCGCATCCTTCAAAATTCTTAAAGGGGAGAGAAACGGTACCTATGATATCAAGTTCTTCTATAGATGACAAAAGGAACTCTCAAAATACACCACAAATTATTGTTTTTCTCTATTTAGGAGTTCTGAAATATCTGATTGAAGATTGTGGTATTGATTTCTATTTTATATCATTGTCCTTGAAGTGCTGATTAATTGGTAGAATAGTAGTTGCCAAATATTAATTGGTAGAATAGATATTTTCTTTTCTGGTTATTTTATTGGTGGTCAGTGACAATTTACTAAAGATGCACCACATCTTAATTGTGGTGATTCATAGAATCTTTCATAAAATTATATTGCGTATCGAGATTCAAGATATAATACTCTGCTCTAAATTTAATTTTATCTGCTTTAAACAAAATTCATATTACACAACTTCCGATTATAATTACTTGATACTTGGGTATTGGAATATTCTTTTAAGTATATCCTTAGATATTTTTGTTTTACGTTGAGCTTTCTGGATCAAACCCTCGAATCAACATGCGTAAAACGTGATTTTGTGTACATTATTTTGAAATCTGTCCTATAGAACAAAAGGAGGGGAAAAAGTTGGACCACGTACGAAGTTACACAATTGTCATCTATCCAATAGCATATATACTCTTGATATTGAAATTAAATTTTCTTTACAAAACATGTTTTCTCAACCATCAAGTGTAGGAATTAGGATGATGTTTAAATAGAAGTCATAACTCCAACATTCTGAAAACTGAAAGGATTTACCTTGTTTGTGGTAATAAGAAGATATTTTTATTTGTAGGAAATTTTGGAGCAGTATCATTTAACTGGGTCAAAATTGAGACAAGAGATTGGTCGAATCATAAAAGAGGTCAAATGTTCGGATTTTTGCAACTGTTTCAAGCCCATCTCTTCCGATTGTATCACCTGTTTAAGAAGAAGAGTGGTTGCTGTGCTTCGCGACAGAGGATTCAGTACCAACCTTTGCATGTCAAAATGGAGAGCCACCAAAAAATTTCCTGGAGGTGCACATATATGTAACTTATATTCACCATGCATAACATTTTGATGTTCAAAAACTAAACGTTGTTTTAGTGTAATTGGTTTGAAAGAGTTGATCAATAATTTTTTAAAAATAATTTATGACTTTTTTAATCTGTTTTGAGCATATTTCAACAAACTTTTTAGTATATTTTTGTCAAAATAAATTATTTTTAGCATATCTTATTAAGTTATATTTTTAAATTTATAATATGTTATATTTTAAAGAGTCTATTGAGTAAATTTTTAAATAAGTAATTATCCAACCACACTGGCCCAATTTCCTTGTGTTTGATTTGTTACTTGTATTTAAGGTTGTCACGAATATATTGAGGTGATGGCAAGCACATCAACGAGGAAGAAGCAGATCCCATTGCTGATTGAATTGGAATTGAGGGACCAGTTTCAGATTGCAAAAGCAGATGAAAAATACCAGAAACTTGTGTCCTGTGTGCCTGAATTTTATATTGGGAAACCAGAGTACTTAACTGCCATAGTTCGAGTTATGTGCAATGCTGCAAAGAAATCAATGAGGGAGAAGAAAATGCATCTGGGTCCATGGAGGAAGAGTAGCTTCATGCAGATGAAGTGGTCAGGCTTCAATCATACATGGAATTCTGATAAATCATCGGGCAGACTTTCAACATTTCCCCTTCCACAAGCAACTGAATCTTACCTCAGAATTTCAGGCGCTCCAACTGCTGTCGTAGTCACCTGAATTGTTTCTTGACAATAAGCTCAAAATCAATGGTAGATTTTGAAAGGGAATTTTGAACTTAGACCCTTTTAGCTGCAGTATATTAGATCATTAGCAATTCGTTTTGCTTTAGTTCAAAGATTGTGATGTAATTTATATTCTCGTAGCAATAGCATATATCATGTACCGTTATGCAGTAACGCAATTTTGAGTTTATGAATGTATTAAGCTTCAAGATCAAATGTTAATTATCGAGATATATATATATATATATATGTCAAGTAGATAAACTAGAGTTTAGCAATTTTGTTTCTCCTACACTACAGAGTGGGTCCTTTTCCTACTACCGTGGGGTAGCCGTCTAGTTTCAACATTGTTATCCTTCTGTTCAGGCTCTTCCTTTTTTGATATCTGCTTAATCCAATGTCTAAATTAGTAGTATATGCTAATGTCCAAGTTAACATTATTTGCTAATAAATAGCAATAGAGCAAGGCTGGTGGGTCCCTAGACTCGTCCCTCTCCTTTTTTTTGTCAATGTATATTATTCTAGACACTTTATTTTATTTTTTTTGTCATTGGAGGAGAAAGAAGGGGATGTGAAAATTTTCAAAACCCAAACCCCCATCATTTTGCATATAACCTGATAGCTCTCACCACTTGAGATATACTGCAAGGATGAAATACAAGTTCATTTAGCGACTATCCATAGGATTTCAAGTAATCTGCTAGCTGGGCTTGGGTGCATGTAACAGGTTCTGAACACGCTTACAATCAAAACTAATATTCAACCAATTAGTCCGTTTCTATGATTTATAGTAATACTAAAAAAAGCTAGCTTAGCACGTATAAAATTTAATAGGAATGACTATAATGACAAAAAAAAAAAACAAAAAAGTAGGAATGACTGTATATCGGATAATAAATCACTCATATGCCTTGACAGAAACACATACTCAGACCTACACAAAAATTTAACAGTTGTATTGTAATAATATAGAGAACTTCCATACCTGGTAACTTGGACTCGTTATCTAAGCTTCGTTAAAGAAATATACATTCGTATTAATGAGCTTTTTTCAAAAGACTAAACTGAGTACACTATTTCAATAATCAAATAATATACGCATAAGTACGAGTGTGCAATACATACTCAAATTCACGTTCATATCCTAACATTTTTGGGATAACATCCAAACTCGAACTCTCCTCATTACACATTTTAGTCCAGGCCAAATTATCCCCACATCTAACCATGTCCTTAATCATGAATTACCGACACATTTCCAGATTTCCTTATAGAAAATAACCTGAGGAAATTTCAATGAATTTGTTTATTGAAAAATACTAAAAATTACTGGTACATTAATACAAAAAATGTATTGACGAGAAACGATTTCAAAAGATATTATGCTGCAAATATAGTTTTTCAATATCTTCTAACCGATAAAATTTTCAGTAATTAGTTTAAATTTTTTAAATAAATCAATAAATTTAAATTTCACCAAAACTTAAAAGAACGTCGATTATCACATAAATCATTAGAATCTGATTGACATACATCCTCTTGATCTTGATTCAGCGAAGAAAGTTTACAAAGGAAGACAAGTAAATCTACGCTCATCTTCGAAAGTGAATATTTACAACCGAAGGCTGCAAGAACAAAGTCTGTTGAACGGAGAGAGCAAGGGGCAAAATTGGATGAAAAAGAAACGAAGAGATCTTTTTTGCACGACCATCCATACTACCAGCTTCAGGACCTAAATAATAAATTTGAAGAAAGGGAAAAAAAACCTGTTAAGTTCATGTTCAAAAAACAGATCAAATTTGAATGGGTTACTCGTCAGCACAACTAGTACAAGAAACTACAATACGGACATATCAAATAGAATTACTAAGCATGAATAAAAGGGAAGGATAAAATTGATCTTAAAAAAAGAACGGAGTTGGAAAAAGCCACTAGGTCAATTCGCTTATCTAGGATCATGCTCTTGCGGGAGCACCTAAATAGAGTTAAGTGCACGTTGTATAACCATTGACGTTATATTCTTACAAATCGACAATTGGTCATCCAAGTAATTTTAGAAAAGAAAATCTTGTTGATTTTTCTCAATAACAGTTAACATACGCATTTCACATGGTATCAGGCATCCTCCACATAAGAAAACCCAGATCCCACCCCTCATTTACTCTCTAAATTGAAGGAGCCTTGTATTTTTTTATTTTTGGAAAGAATAAGCTTGAACAAGAGAAAAAGCGCACCTGGTTTGATCTTAAATTTGAGAGAATATGGATACCTCCTTAAAATGAATTTGATTGGATGGTCACTGGATTGCCTGTGTCGATCAGTTGCAGAAATCAGCTGCAATGATGGGAAGAATAAAATGGTACACCATAGTAAGGGAAAAATCATATATTTGTGTATTATAAAGGAGAGAAAGAAAAGTAAATTAAATGACTGAGAACTGTCATCTACTGTCTAGCAGAGCAGATACTTGGGCATACGGTAAGCCCTTTTTACAAGGGGCATCAACGAGCATGGCAAGTTTGCTCCCCTCCACCCCCTCTCCTAATCCTTTTTTACCACATGAATAACTCAAAGGGTAAGGAAACCAGAGAAAATCATTCTTCCAACAGTAATTCAAAGTAAATTTCCACACCTAGAGTCACCCCATTTTTTTATGTAAAATTGGAATCTGTCAGTAATCAGCCTCTAGAATCTTTGTTCCCATTACCATATCCTTTTTAATATACCTAGTTGTCAATATCAGTGTTGTAAAGGTTGCAACCACCTCCCCAAAAGAAACTCAGCTTCAAATTTCTTTCCAGATATCTTCAAAACTATCACATTGAATAAATGGGCATTCAGATTTACATGATACCTTCACAGAAGGGTGAAAAGACAGGCCTCAAGCAATAAATCCAACCGATGTTAAGGCCTGTCTCCAAAGTAGGCCCTCATTTGATTCCTCATTCCCACTAACTTATTTACTAAAGCCAACTTAACAGCTGGAACTCCACTCTAGGATGTATATACTCAACTCTGTCCCAAATATATAAAATTTAATTAAAAAAAAAGGCTTTGGCTATTTTACGGAAACTAGACAAGCAAGCAAGCATCTGAAGTAAACCTTATCATCAAATCGAAAAAGAGATTGGTCAAAGTATGGAGAAGGACTCTGTGACTGGCAGCTGAAAGGCAAAGAGGCAAGCATCTTTTTCACAAACTGCAAATACAACAAACAAAATTTAAACAGAGAACACATTAGTATGCCATGTACATTGTCTTTTTTTTTTTTTTCTATATCCAGGGCAATTACGTTACAACCAACAACACTTTACCTGTGAAGAGTTGCTTGCCTTATCTTTTATGCTCCGTAGCTGTTCCAGCGCATGGATATTATTTGAATGAGATGATATGAAGTTCATATACATTGAATTCCTTGATGTCGCATGGAAATGGTCACAGAACTGCTCAAACAACAGATAAAGTTCATCTGCTGAATTCTGATAAGATTTAAAAATCAGTCAGAAAAAACACGAAGACACTAACACAGAGAAAACCAAGAAAATAGAACAGGATGAAAAACAAGATACCTGATAAAAAGATATGATTTCAGTTGTATCCATGTTATATACAGCAACAAATGCTGGATGATGATCAGCATTTCGTGACACCTGAGGCTTGGAAATACAAAAGGTCAACACATTTATCATATTACTTCAATAGAGGACATAATGATTCCACTTCAGTCTCCAGTTTGAAAATCGGATAAAGAACTAAACATGAGATGCACCAAATCATAAGATATCAAAAATCATCTTCAGACCTCCACTTAACAGTGGTAATCCTTCAAGAGTTAGTCCCTAACATGGTATGACTGCATGAGATCACCCAAGACCTAGTGATCAAGAATTCAAACCTTGTTGCTCGATTCTGATAACTAAAAATTAGAATTTAATAACAGGATGGTTGAACTACTCATTGAGGGGGCTTGTCAAAAGATAATTACTATTTTAGTTACCAGCTTCAAGATTTAAGAAAAGTTAATCCTTGACATAAATTGTTTTCAATGAGAGGATGACCCTGGTTTCAAAGAAAGCTCCATATAGTGTGGAGCCTCCTACAAAAAAGGTAACACTTTACTTCAAGGACAGCCAGATAGGCATATACTCCAGCTATGGCAAACAACAATGCTATACTATGTTGATTTTATATGTGGGCTTTGGCATACTTCCCAGGTTCTTGTAAGTAATTTTCATTCTTTAATTACTTAGGGACTGTGAATGGTATTATTAGAACAAAATAATAATAATAATAATAATAATAATAAGATATCCACACAGAGAACTCACCCCTCCATCTACACTACCAAACTTGATTAGCAAATGATGTCGGTCCAAGAATTGCACCTGCCCATGAATTGAATAGATATAACTTGTTATATTCCTTATTATAAGCACAGAAAAAAATTGTAAAGGTTTAAATCATAAGAGATGCATTTAAGATGCATAAAATGCCTGAAGGACCCTACCTTCCAGATAATTAAATCAACATAATCTTGAAAGTGGAAATAAAACTTCTTCCTAAGCCCTTGGACCCTCTGGTAGATGGGAGAAAATAATTAAAAAAATAAATTTATACATATTTAGAAAAATAATTGGAAAGAGAGAAAGCTGAAGTCTTATACATAACAACAGCCAAAAATCTTCCTACAATCACAACTCAGAAACACAGAGAATCAAGACAGCAAAAATTACAGAATGGTGACTAGGAGAAATGGGAAGGGTAAACATTTGACAAGGTGCCATGATATATGCTTGCCTACAGACTTATATACCAAGCACCATTTTTCATAGTCATTACAAAAGGTATTGCCGCAGACTATAGGCCAGCCATTTCAAATTGTAGAAATTTCTTTTCCATATGCATATTCATGCTTAACAATTTCCTAATAATGATAGGTTATGTGAGAACGCAACTGAGGGAAAGTTACACAGAAGGAATTCTAGGTAAAAAAAATTTCTAGTTCAGGAATAATTAAGCATACAAGCGGGTTAATTAAGTCAATAGGCAATTATTCAGTAACCACTCTTTGAACATGATTGACTGGTTCATGGTTAATTATTTCAAAGTTGGAAATATTTTTACCAAGAATTCCTTCATTGTAATTTCTCCTTTCAAATTATTGCAAAAAGTGAATGAGTGCGTGCATGCGCCTGTGTATAACAATGGCCATGTTGAACAACAAACCCCGTGTATTCCCATTTCCAACACACGTATATGTCTGCAAAGACAGAGAAATATGGACATACAGAAACAAACTATGTCTGTATGTAGTGAGTGTACAAGACACAAGAAATGAAATCAATTTGCTGTGAAGAACAAAAGGAAAGACCCTGCAAGTTTTCAGTATCATAGAGAAAAGAAAAAGAAACGAATTTTGGAATAGACTATGTCCCTTTGTCCTTCCCAGATAATACAAGAACTGTACATGTTAAGTATAGAAGAAAGCAATACAAAATACGGAAAAAGAATTTGTGCAGCAATACAAGGTGAATTTGAAGACCAACCAATGTATCATCTATTTCTTCATTCCATAGTCCTTGGAATATGAATGAAAGTAATCGCTGCTTTATACCACTTAGAAAACAATTCCCCATATTAGGCTGGCCTTGATGCACGTGATTTTCATTGTGATTCCCAGGCAATGCCATGCCCTGTCAACAAATGGCTGTCTTTAGTGAGTTTAGTGCTTAAATATGTCATAAAACCATCAGAATTATCAATGTTGAGCTCATGTGGCTTCATAATTGATAAAATTGATAAAGGAAGATTGGGATGTAGTGACAATCAAAGCTGATCATGAAATTATTAGTTTTGAAACACTGAAACAGAATTCAAAAGCATTCCCAAGGTGTTAACTAAATCACCAGTAATTTCCAAAAATGAACAGTAAAGGCATTAAAGGACAACCTGGTGCACGATGGTTCTCACCTAATAGGATTGAGGAGGGTAGATGTATGAAACCTTACCCCCTATAAGTGGATAGGTTGAATCCAGGATTTGATCCCAAAACCTCCAAGTCACAAGGAAGCTATCTTATCATTACACCAAAAAGTTCACCCTCAAATAGTGAAAGCATTCTTAAGAGATTTATTTTTGGTTCAAGGGAGGAACCACTGCCGAGGTGAGCCCTAGAGGAGGCCCATAGGGAAGGGAAGGAGCAGGGGAATGGTAAATGGGATGGTGTGAATTATGGAAGTTTGAATCCATGCACTCTTGTAGCATGTCCCACAATTCCACCATCTAAGCCGACTCAAGAGGATCTTAAAAGTATTTAAATAGAAAAAAAATTACAGATTTTTCTGTCAAACAACCACAACAATCTATCTAACGGTATGTTCAACAAAACATACATACAACAAAGTCAATAGCAAATGCTTGCTGACCTGAGCATTTGAATTGAGAAAAAGCTCATCATCCTCACGGCAGAATTCCCCAATAGCACGTACATCAACAAGGTTACCAAAGTCTCTAATTTGAAGAATATGTATAGTTTGATACCGAAGTGATACAATTGCCAATAAGTCATCATACAAGAAGACCCCCATATTATGGGTTAAATTAACAAAGTCATTACAGAAGACCTTCTTGTCCAAGATCTCTCCATCTTCCAGTCTAACATAATAGGTGAGATACAAGGAGGGAAAAGACATAAATACAAACTAATCTGAATATGATTTGTCTTGTAATTTTGAAGATAAGAAAAAAAATAAAAATTCAAATATAAGCAAAGATGAGTAAGCACCTCAAGAGGTGGAAAGTTATCTTCTCTATTGAAGGAACACCGTGGACAGCTCCTCCAACAGCAGGTGCATCATGAATTTGGGCAGTCGAAGTAGCAAACAGTCCAAATTGATTACTCTCCATGTAAAGGAAAAAATCTTTACATATAAGTTCATTGCAAGAAGCAAGTGGTACACAATATAATTGGGTGAAAAAACTTTCAAATCTCTTTGCTCGTGATGGCAAATCATGTTTATCACAATCTTCATCTTTGCATGAAAAAGAAAGCCACCTAGGCCTATAAACAATCAACTCCTGATGATTTCTGCTGAAACTTATAAGGTATTGACCATCATCAGTGAATTTACGAAATGAATGGTCTGGGCATTCAACCTCATATACTGTGTAACTTGGAACTAAATTTTCATAGAATCGCCGAGCATGATGAACCTGCAAGAATTAAATTACACCTGCAAAAATTAAATTCAATTCAGGTTCCTTCAACAGAGGAACAAGACAACAATTTTACAAATTCCCCACTAGGCTAGTTCGTCCATCTGATAAAGTGAAAGAAAATTTTCCAAAATGACACAGACAATACATACTTCCGCATTTCAAGTATCCATATTAAAAAAAATTAGGTTATACTTGACACTCGCTAGAACCAAATAGAATGCCCAACCTCTCAAAACATAAAATATGCAACAAAGCAAACAGCATAACTCCACTTAACCTTATTTATCATCCCTTACTCATGTTCTTGATAGTAACAAGTATTGCCAGGGATGTTCACATTTCCTACACTTACACAAGTTACAACCCAATTATTGTGGAACTTATTTTTACCCCCCACCCACAACAGTAACAACATCCAAGCCTTATCCCACTAGGTGGGGTTTTACCCCCCCTTAACAAAAGAAAAATAGAAAAACCAATTCCTGTTTCTGAAGTGCCTAAAAACTCTCTGTAGCTAGGCATAAATCTTGCTTAATCTTTGTTTGCATCAATTATTCTACACTAAAGCTTTAAAAAAATTATTGCATCATACAAGGCGTAAACAAAAGAGAGGCTAAAGACAACTACAATAGGAACTATTCCCAGGAGAAACAATCCTAAAAATAATTTATAGTAAAAAGAAATTACACTAGTGCCAGGAGCAGGAGTGCAAATTTGACGATCAAAAATCCTAGTCACAATATTGCTGCTTCTGTAGTACATTAAAGCTTGTCCACAAACAAGAAAGTTCAGCCTGAAAACAAAGAAAAATGAAATTTTCATATCAGACAAGTTATCTTCATAGAATTATTTTTTTATACTATTTCATTGATCACATCAATAACCCCAGCATGTAACACTAATCTAAACTACAGAGAATGTAAAATAATCAAACTGAAAGCCCACGAAAATAGTATAATCCTCACAGACACAGTAGTATATAGGAATGGGAACGCAAAAGAAAAAAAAAAGCAGGATTAGAAAGGCCAATCTAAGTCATCTAAAGTGAGCGTGTGAAACTCGTGCTAAGAAGCAGCAAGCAAGGTTGACTGGTGAATCAATTAAGAATTTTACAAGCTAGTTTCAGACCCTAGGGTGTACGTAGTGTGTACAAAGCAGCTATCATTTTCTTCGCTAATAATGAGACGAAGATGATATGAGAAATGCTATTTTCACCTAAATCGTAACATCAACATAAGTGTCATACACAACATTTCAAAAAGTTGAAACCTAGCAGCAGTTAACAATCAAGACTCAACAGTAACAACACATCTTATCCACGTTCACAATTGAGCGTAGAAGTAGAGAGTGAAATCACCGTTCTGAAAACTGAAGAGGTTACCGGCGGCGACAGAGAGAGGAGTGAGGATGAGAATTGAGAATTGGGAATTGGGAATGGAATTTGTGTTGTGTTGGGTAAAAGTGAGTTTGGAGATGCCAGTTTGCCACATCACCACCTCGCTTCCATCTCTATTTCCGTTTCGCTCCCCCTTTCTTACAACTAGCAAATGCAACAAGCACCACATGTATCCTTTCAATTCTTTTTTTATTTTTTTTCTCTCTCTCTTTTGCAAGCATAAGGATAAGGTCACACCACAAAATAATAATAATAATAATAATAATTAATATAGAAGTAAATGTTCACATTAAAATAAAAAATAATTTTTAAATTATAAAATAAATATTCACAATATAAAAATAAAAACATTCTTATATTTATAAGATGAAGATAAATATTTATATCATGAATAAATAAAAAATTATGTATAAATAAAATAATATCTAAATGATATACGAATTCTTTTCATATATTAAAGATTTGATTCACTATGATTACAACATTTCATAATTGTTTTATTTTCATTATTTTTTAAGCCATGTTTTTTATTTTTACAATTATTTTATTTTATATAAATATTTTTTTATTGTTGTATTTGTATATAATTTTTTATAATATTATAATTATTGACTTGTATGAGACACCCTAAGTGGTAAATTAAATTATTAAAAATATATAAACTATAAATAAAAATATTTTCTTTAAATGATTATACCGATGGATCCAATTAACTTTTTGAATTTTTAAAAGAAAAAATACAATATTAAACACAGCATGGCCTACTTCATATTTATAGAAAATTAAGAAATGGAAAGCATCATATAGTAAATTTATTAAATTTTAAGCATGAATATTTAGGGCACTTCAAGTAACATACTTTTAAACACAAAAAATTGAGGAATAGGGTACTCTTCTGCACACACAAGATTATAACTCTTGCTACTAACCCATGATATGTAAGTCTTCTTTCCCTACCTTGGTTCGATGATATCGGGTTCCTCCTTCAAGAAAAGGTTCCAAAAGCTTCTTTGGTTAGCTTTAAAAAGTATAGAAGAAGAAAAATAAAACCTAAAATTTTTTTTTATGATTTATGGTGATTTGAGAGTAAAAAGAAAAAAGTGAAGTTCGAAATTCATCTTTCTAAGTGTTTTAAGTTAAGGAGAGAGGATGAAGTAGAAGAAAACCAAGAAGTGAAGTGCAAAATATGCTGCATTCCTTATGGCTTAATTCCTAGAAGAGTGGAAATTTCTCTCCAATGTTACCACACAATTGTGTGGATAAACTTTGTCCGAACAACTACTTTACTAATTCTTTTTACAATATTTATTGAGATAAGCTTGATATTTGTCTCTCTTGCCTTCGGTTAATTCCACGTTTAGATGGATAAATTGTGTGATTTAATAACTAATTTTTATTTTTTTATCATACTTTATTGCACCTAAAAGTCAAAAAATTGTTATTTAATTAGTCTTTCATCACTTTATTTTTGTTTTCACTCAAGTTCAGAAAAATAAATAATTTTTAATTTTTTTATATATTTATTCCTTTTGTCTAAAAATATTTATATTTATTAAAATTTATTTTTAGTAAACGATTTTATGCAACTAAAAATATAAGATTAATAGGATATATATATATATATTTATATATATATATAATATTCACATTAGTTATTGACTTTATATTTGTACGACATTTTAATTTATATATCTAGTTAGTGTCAATAACCAAGAAGTGATATGTATGAAAAATTATTTGATAAAAATACGTCATTTCACATGTTTTAAATGAGTAACCGTGATTAAACAACCTAAGATCCTAAGATCCCATTCACAAATTGTAATTGATGACATTGAAAATTTTGAAATTGTTAATTGTGCATTATTTGACTTCTTTCTCATCATTCTAAATCCCTTAAATATAAAACTGACTTTCATTACTAATAAAGGAAAGTATCACTTTGCTATGCATTCTTAGCTTCTTACTTCACCTAAAGAAAAATTACTCTATCATTAATATTCTCTCTCATTATATACTAAAGTCCGTCCCTCTTTCCATCTTCTCTCACTACTCTTCCTTTCTTTCTTTCTCTCTCTCTATTGTTACATGGAAACAGCTAAGTTAAAACACAAAACAAAAAGTTCCAGCAATTCAAAGAGATCTGTTTTATGGCGGATTCTAATATCCTCTCTTTTTTTTTGTAAAAAGTAAGGGGAAAGAAAACTTTTATAAAAGTAATCATATACTATAAACAGTTGATTTTAATTGAATGGTTAAGAATGAATTACAGAATACCAATTATTCAAGTTAGATTTATGAAAGGATACATTGGTAATTTCATATTTTCATTCGTTCTTCGTGTTTTCTACCTCTTTTTTTTGTTGGTCATCTTGTTCTTTTAATCTTCTGTGTTGCAACATAACTTTTGAACTGAGTCCAATTATGTCCTAATTGGTTTTTCCGAAAACGTGAAACTGTATCAGAATCCTCTCTTTAGGCTTACATTTAACAGTGATATGCTTTATTTTAGTTGCACTTTTATCTTTCATCTGCGAAGACAGATATAATATTTGATGGTGTATAGTTGTTTGTAGTTCAACGCAGACACATTTTGTGTTATATCAACCTTTAAGATACATATTATAGATAGAATGATGGAACTGATTAAATAATTAAAATTGTATTTGTAGGCAATATTACAGTAAGTTAAACTTGAACATCAGTTAGTGCCATAACTCACATATAGAAGAACCCATGTTTAATAGTGTGATAACAAGGATCTGTTGACCATTTTTGTTGTGAAAATGAACAATATATATGTGAAACAAATGGAAGCAGGGGTTTAATAGGCCTTTACATTTGCATCGGTTGTATTATAAAACCAATATCATTTGTTGACCACCTTTAATATTTTCACATGGACTCAATTTGCATTGGTTTTATGGCAAGTCTGATGTCATTAGGCAACCACTTTATACATTTTCCCATAGACTGTATTTGCATCGGTTGTCTTGGGTTTATGTCGCTTCTTTTTATATCTGTTATCTGAGAAAACTCATGTAAAACTTACATTTTAATTTTTTAAAAATACTTTGTAAAGGATTATTGCCTCGACCATCCAATTCAACCGATGTAGAAGTTACTTATTGATGAGCTCTTGTACAGTAGTTGGGCTACAAAGCCCATTTTGAATTTTGAAATAATGACCTCAACCTGCAATGTTGACGGTAGGTGTGTATTATAGATCTATTTAACTAGTCCACGAATATCATTATCTCAGTATCATATATTATATTAAATTATTTTGTATGATAGAACCGATTTGCTATGTGCATTAATCTTGTATTCAATTTAAATCATATTAGTTATAATTTATTATTCTCAATTTTTATTTGATATAACGAAAATAAAACTGTAGTCCATTATAATATTTTTGATATATTATAGATTTAAAAATTTGAATTTGATATAATTAATATAAAAATATATCTGTATATATTTGATATAAAAAAATTAAATTATGTGCATATTTTACATTCATATTGTATTAAAATAAAATTGAAATATTAACTTAACATTTTTAATTCACTCCACAAAGTAATTATACTTATTAAATATTAGAATAGATAAATTTATTTTAATTTAAACTAGTTTATAACTGCTTTGAAACTTTATATTTTGGTATAATAATGCTTTAAACCCTGATTGTAGCATAATGGGTTCTAGATTCAATGTTTTATGTTAACTTAGTTCTAAATTTAGTGTTAAAGTAAAATAAATTTTAAATCTAAATCTAGAATAATAGAAAAAAATAATTTAATTTTAATAGATTCATAAAATTAATTTTTAATGTAAAATTAATTTATTTGATTGCGTCACTGTTGTATTAAATTTGTGTATTTTCATAAATATTATAGTAATATTAATTAATTACTTTATACTTTATAGAAGCCTTTAAAAAATATATTTGTTCTTTTAACTTAGTATTAGTAAACAGAATATATAATAAAAGTTTACTATAAAGTCTATAAAAAGAAATAACAATATTTTGAGCATGATAAAAATATAATGTTATACTATCTGAAATTTTTAAAACCAAAAATAAACAAAACGTAGTATTTGATGATGTATAGCGGTTTGTGGTGCAATGCAAACACATTTTGTGTTGTATTGACCTTTAAGAGACAAATTGCACACATGAAATGATGGAACTCATTAAATAACGTAATATTTGTATTTGTAGGTAATATTAAAGTAAGTTAAACTTGTACATCGGTTTGTACCATAATCCAATTATAAAAGAATCAATGTTAAAATATTTTCCTTAACAAGGAAATGTTGAGCATTTGTGTCATGAAAATGAACAATATATACATGAAACCATGACGTGAAATGACATGTTGTTATGAACGGAAGCATGGGCTTAATAGGCCTTTAAGCGTTAATATATATACCCATGAATTTAATAAAAAAATTTGCAAGGTGAAGGAGAATGGGCCTAACCGAGGAGTAGAAACATCTTCTATTGCGTTACAATCATGTTTTGTAGACAATAAAAAGAAGTTATGAACGTGACGTGTCATGTGGGTCACCAACTCCATTATCATTGATGAAAGGACTAGTCTGTTTGGGTCCTACACACGCCTAATAGACTCTAACAGTGTCAGTCCACATTAGGAATTAAAAGGAGTTGTCTCTTCGAATATCCACATGTCAAATAAAATTTAATGCATTAAAATTTACAAGTACAACAACTCATATTTGTGACTAAACCTCTTTAGCTCTTCTCTTCTCTTCATGAGCAGTACAAAGTTTACAGTTCTTGTGATTTAGTATCATATTAGAGGTAGTCATCACTTGATTATAAACAACCATGAAATTTTATTCTTACATCCAGCAAGGTAATAATCTTCACAACAATGAATTCTGATGTCAACTGAAGTGTGATCAGGTACATAACCTTTTCATCAATTTATTAGATATTGAACGTATTGTATTTTTGTAATTATTGGTCGGTGAAATTGTCATTATTCATTTATTATGTTTTTCAATTTGTAAAGGAATATTATATATATATATATATATATATATATATATGTGTGTGTGTGTGTGTGTATGTATGTGTGTGTGTTCTGTTGTTTTGTATTGATGCAGAATGATATATCTATCAACGGTGGTTTTTATAGAAAATGGTGTTTTAATATTATGGAAAAACATTTTCACCTGAAAGATCCTTTAGATAATGTTATTAATGTGACAATATATGAAAATGGAAATGCAATAGTCGACTATTTTAAAAATGCATCAAGATTGATAAGACAATTTTGTCAACTTGATGGTATATATTTTGTCACCTTTAAGTACAATGGTGATAATGTTTTTGAAATAAGAATCACCAACGTCAAAGATGTAGACATTGAATATCGTCACACTGACCCCATGCTGCAACCAAAACCTTCGTTAAGGTTAAACTATAATATGTGAAGATGTGGCAACGACAAGTGTCAAAATCGTTCGCATATGGGAATAATGTACTGATATGTATAAATATAAAATAAAAATTCACTGGTCATTTAAATGAATGGTTGATTTTATTTATTTTAACAAATTTATATATTTGTAATTACAGCCTCTTTCTGTTAACTATGTTCGTGAGGTGATGTTAGCAGAACAACACACGTGATTTTGAAAGAGAATGATGGACTTATCATTTCATCTTGTCAAATACTATATGGGAAAAAGAAGACCCAGAGATATTTGGGTGCAGGGTGGTACAACTTTTGTAGAGCACTAAAATTGATACTGGGAGATGAAATATCATTTTGACACTTTGGAGTGCAAAATGAACTTGAAGTTCATATAACTCGTGCATCATGAACAATTACAATAATAACGCTTGACTTTTCAAATTTTTTTTTGGTGACTTGCTTTATGGTTTTCTTTGGACATATTGAATTGAACTCATATGCAATATGTGTGTGTGATTAAACAATTATTTTTTTGTAGTTTATGATCACTTATAACATTGTAATCTAAGGGTTTTGTTTTGTTTATTA